CCAGGTAAACTCCAGGTAAACAGCAGAAATGCTTGTGTCTTAGACATTATTAGAGAGCACAAGACAGGAGCAGAATCCGTTGTATTGTAACATTTTTGTGGAAAAAGACACTTATGTACGGTTCAGGACATTTATTACTGGAAACTGGCCTATGCGAGGCAAGTCCAAGTCTCCTACCGGCTTAAGCCAATAACCCAACCTAGTCAGGTCAGGTTACATTCACATAAGGAAGGAGCACGGCATCAGACCTAATAGGGTGTATAGTTTACGGTGTGGGAGGGAGGAGAGGAAGATGGAGGAGGAAGCTGTGCACACATCACCACACTAAGGAGAGAAACATCACCACTGACTGTGTATAAATTGTGATACAACGTATATCTCACAGGAACTTGTTTCTTAGTCAGACCAACAACCTGATTATTTTTTAATGTGTGTATGTGTGTATGTGCGTGTGTATGTGTGTATGTGCGTGTGTATGTGTGTGTGTGTGTGTGTGTGTGTGTATGTGCGTGTGTATGTGTGTGTGTGTGTGTGTGTGTGTGTGTGTGTGTGTGTGTGTGTGTGTGTGTGTGTGTGTGTGTGTGTGTGTGTAATAATAATAAGGTTTATTTTCTTTATTTCTATGCCTGTACACCTATTTCTATGCCTGTACAGGCCTAGCTGATATCAGTGACATACTGCTCTATAGAATGCCACTTGTTATGTAGAGCATTTCGGCCAAATTAAGTCACTTTCGTTCCCAGGATGCGACCCACACCAATCGACTAACACCCACGTATCTATTTTACTGATAGATGAAGAGGGACAGCAGGTGCCTTAAGGAAACTCATTATAATGTTCCCACCCGTACCGGGGATCGAACCGCGGACCTCAGAGTGTGAGCTGACTGCACTAGCAACCAAACTACTGTGTGATGATTTCCCTTACAATAGGTGTGTACACTCACCAAACAGTCACTTGGCTGGTCACAACGCTTATGTTGCTGCCTCGAGACAAACACCAACAGTCTCAAGCTATATACCGAGATTACGACAGATTTCAGGGGATAACCTGAAGCCTCGCGCGACCTTCTCAGCTTTTCACACCTCCTCATCTAATAACTCCTTTTATTCCATGGTAAGACACTCTTATAGTCTTACCAGTGGACTATATTGTCTTAGTAGTGGAGTATATTGTCTTACCAGTGGAGTATATAGGTTAACTCCCCCTCCTCTCCCCTCCCATCTCTGACTATCTTCACATTATGTCGTGTCTCTCTCTTTAACCGCCCCCTGGCTTCCTACTCTTCCTTCCAAATACAATCACCTTCCCCTTTCTTGTTATGTAGCGTCCACTTTCTCTTCTTCCTTCTCACGTAGATTCCCCCTTCCCCTCTCTTCCTGTCTAGCTTTTTCTTTCTCTCCCTTCCCCTCCCTCGTACGTTCCCCCTCTCTTCCCTTGCCACCGTGGAAATAACACCAAGATAACAGTTAGTCATATAATCGTTGTTGTTGGTTGGCTTACCACGCAGCAATGGTGCTCGTGAAGCTCCCACGATACCCACGCCAGAGTACCAGAGCGTTGGGGGAGAGACGAGTTAGAGGGGGAGGGGGTTAGAAGGGGGAGGGGGTTTGAAGGGGGAGGGGGATAATGGTTTATATTTATTTAACAAAACTCGACACATCAGTAATGTGCTTCTACCCTATTCATTGTGACAGTTAACAGTTGATAAGTAAGACACATGTGCAGCAGTTAGGTATCTTTATTCCGAAACGTTTCTCCTACACCGTAGACTTCTTCAGTCGAGTACAGAGGCAGCAGCAGAAACAGTAGAGACGTTAACTCGGTTTAATCAGTCCATCAACCTTGAAGACGTAGTGTTGAGGTTGTCAGTCCCTCAGTCTGGAGAATTTTGCACACTTGAAGGAGCTCACTCTAAGGCGGAGAACCAACGACACTAAAGACAAGAACAACTCATCGTTTGACAAAACATCGAGGAAGCGATAGCCAGGCATAAGGAGGCACGGACTACACAGAGAGAAATAAGAATAACAAATGTAAGTAGCAGAACTAGCCACTAATATTACGAGTGGAACCACAGTTAGGTTAGGTAAGATTTGTTATTAAACGGGACAAGTGTTTCCTGGTGCGGGACAAGTGTTTCCTGGCGCGGGACAAGTGTTTCCTGACGCGGGACAAGTGTTTCCTGACGCGGGACAAGTGTTTCCTGACGCGGGACAAGTGTTTCCTGACGCGGGACAAGTGTTTCCTGATGCGGGACAAGTGTTTCCTGACGCGGGACAAGTGTTTCCTGACGCGGGACAAGTGTTTCCTGACGCGGGACAAGTGTTTCTTGACGCGGGACAAGTGTTTCCTGACGCTGGATAGTCCAAACTATTAAACAACTGAGAAAGAAGAAAAATATCAGTGAGGGGACCAATTGACTATCATTTTTTATTTTTTGCATTATACTGACGACGGGAAGCAGACCCACAGAGTTCACATCGCTGCTGAGGAACAAGAGGTAATCAGGTGTGACTCAAGGTAGGGGAGGGGAGGAACTTCAATCCTCTGGATGAAGAGTTTTTTCACCAGCATCAAGGTACCTCCTCGAAGGCACCAAGTGACTGAAAAAAGGGAAGGAATATGAACCAGCCGGGAAGGAAGGAGCCAGGTGGTGACGAATACAGTGACATCTTACAAGATGTATTGACCACTGTAGAGTAACAGCGGTCACAACTGCACAAGTTCCCACACTGATCAGTGTATGTACGCTGGGTCACCATCTGGACAAGACCCGGACTGAGACTACTATTGATCAGTGTATGAATGTACATAACGAAGTATACGAATGTACGAATATGCGAGAACTTGAACGTAAATGTACGAATATGCGAGAACTTGAACGTAAATGTACGAATATGCGAGAACTTGAACGTAAATGTACGAATATGCGAGAACTTGAACGTAAATGTACGAATATGCGAGAACTTGAACGTAAATGTACGAATATGCGAGAACTTGAACGTAAATGTACGAATATGCGAGAACTTGAACGTAAATGTATTATCAACTTACTGGAGTATAGCTTAAATTATTAGCGATGTTTAAAAATAACAATTTACGGTGTTTACAAGTGGCGGTGTTGGAGATATTTACAGGTGGCAATGTTGGAGATATTTACAGGTGGCAGTGTTGGAGATATTTACAGGTGGCAATGTTGGAGATATTTACAGGTGGCAATGTTGGAGATATTTACCTTTGACATTGTTGGAAATATTTACAGATGGCAGTGGTGGAGATATTTACAGGTGGCAGTGTTGGAGATATTTACAGGTGGCAATGTTGGAGATATTTACAGGTGGCAGTGTTGGAGATATTTACCTTTGACATTGTTGGAAATATTTACAGATGGCAGTGGTGGAGATATTTACAGGTGGTAGTGTTGGAGATATTTACAGGTGGCAATGTTGGAGATATTTACAGGTGGCAATGTTGGAGATATTTACCTTTGACATTGTTGGAAATATTTACAGATGGCAGTGGTGGAGATATTTACAGATGGTAGTGTCGGAGATATTTACAGGTGGCAGTGTTGGAGATATTTACAGATGACAGTGTTGGAAATATTTACAGATGGCAGTGGTGGAGATATTTACAGATGGCAGTGGTGGATATATTTACAGATGGCAGTGTTGGAGATATTTACAGATGGCAGTGTTGGAGATATTTACAGATGGTAGTGTTGGAGATATTTACAGATGGCAGTGTTGGAGATATTTACAGATGGTAGTGTTGGATATATTTACAGATGGCAGTGTTGGAGATATTTACAGATGGCAGTGTTGGAGATATTTACAGATGGCAGTGTTGGAGATATTTACAGATGGCAGTGTTGGAGATATTTACAGATGGTAGTGTTGGAGATATTTACAGATGGCAGTGTTGGATATATTTACAGATGGCAGTGTTGGAGATATTTACAGATGGCAGTGTTGGAGATATTTACAGATGGCAGTGTTGGAGATATTTACAGATGGCAGTGTTGGAGATATTTACAGATGGCAGTATTGGAGATATTTACAGATGGCAGTGTTGGAGATATTTACAGATGACAGTGTTGGAGATATTTACAGGTGGCAGTGTTGGAGATATTTACAGATGGCAGTGTTGGATATATTTACAGATGGCAGTATTGGAGATATTTACAGATGGCAGTGTTGGAGATATTTGCAGATGGCAGTGTTGGAGATATTTACAGATGACAGTGTTGGAGATATTTACAGGTGGCAGTGTTGGAGATATTTACAGATGGCAGTGTTGGAGATATTTACAGATGACAGTGTTGGAGGTATTTACAGGTGGCAGTGTTGGAGATATTTACAGAGGGCAGTGTTGGATATAGTAACAGATGGCAGTGTTGGATATATTTACAGATGGCAGTGTTGGAGATATTTACAGATGACAGTGTTGGAGATATTTACAGGTGGCAGTGTTGGAGATATTTACAGATGGCAATGTTGGAGATATTTGCAGATGGCAATGTTGGAGATATTTACATATCACATTGTTGGAGATATTTCCAGGTGACAGTGTTGGAGATATTTACAGGCGGAAATGTTGGAGATACTTACATTTTACATTGTTGGAGATATTTCCAGGTGAGTGCGTTGGAGATATTTCCAGGTGACAGTGTTGGAGATATTTACAGATGGCAGTGTTGGAGATACTTACAGGTGGCAGTGTTAGAGATATTTACAGGTGGAAGTGTTGGAGATATTTACATATGACAGTGTTGGTGACATTTACAGGTAGCAGTGTTGGAGATATTTATAGGTGGCAGTGTTGGAGATATTTACAATGATACTCGCAGTGTTGATGATCAATACAAATGATAACAATTTACACTTACAAACAACATGACACATATTTACACTAAGGCAGGGAGGGATACAGAAGGACCTGGTTGGCTGTATCCATCTACAGGTACTCACTACTAATCTCAACTCTCTGTGTTACAGGTAAGCGGGGTCATCAACAACACAGGTCACAGTGTTGTGTTGACCTTGGCAGGATCAGGTCACCACCACACTCCTATCAATATCACAGGTGGCCCTCTCTCCTACAGATACCAGGTCAGTATCTGCAGATATCAGGTTAATAACTACAGATACTAGGCTAATATCTACAGATAACAGGTCAATATCCACGCATACCAGGTTAGTATCTGAAAGTGACTTGAAGCTGACACGTGGTCATTGCTACCCTGGTCCACAACAGTGGTCATTGTTACCGTGGTCCATCAAAGTGGTTCACCACTTTGGTCATTGCTACCGTGGTCCACCAAAATGGTCCAAGAACCATCAGTTACCACACCTTCACAAGTCTTACTTGGTAAGTAAAAAAGTGTGACAAGTAGGGTAATATAACAAGACTCTCAGCAGAACCAGACTTTATTACACAAAGTTGCCCTCAAACAGGAATTTAGTTTATAACCGATCAAAAAAGTGTTGTCTTAAATGTGACACCTTGTTTAATTTTGTCTGTGTCAGTTGTGAGTGACTGTGTGTCGCCGTCTTCATATATTAGACACATGTGCAACACTTGGGTATCTTTACTGAGGAAACGTTTCGCCACACAGTGGCTTCATCAGTCCAATATAAAGGAGAATGGTGAAGATCAGAAGGAGGTTTGAGGTAATCAGTCCCTCAGCCTGGATTCGATGTAATCAGCCCATTAATCTTGATCAAGATTGAGGGACTGATTGCCTCCAAACTCCTTCTGACCTTCATTATTCTCCTTTGTATCGGACTGATGAAGCCACTGTCTGGCAAAACGTTTCCACTATAAAGACAACTAAGTGTTGCATATGTGTCTAATTTATTAATTTCTGGGTTGTCTGAACCATTTATCAACTTACCGTCCTGTTGGTGGGGTATTATAAGGCCACTGACGGCTTACATTGTATTCAGCTCATATTTATACACATTAACGGGATATATACACCATTAAAGAATATAAACACACCATAGGGATGTGTTTCAGTGTGTATGCTTTGAGTTTATATTGCTAATTTGATGGTTGAAGTGATGTGTTGTGCCTGGTGATGAACAAGTGACATGCTGCCTTAATGACCCTCGTGTAGTCGATAGTCTTTAAAGTTTCAGAAGCGTATAATCCGGGTGTGCTTGGAGACGCCGCACACCCTCCAAAGATGGTAAATTCATCATAAATAATAAGCTCACTTAGTATAATCATAGATTATAATGGGAAACAAATTCTTCTGTCCCCTGTTATGAAATACTTTAGCAGTTGTTGTAAGACAGCACTGCGCACACCACAGCTGCTTGTATCAAAATTAGACACATGTGCAACATCTGGGTATCTTTACTGTAGACGTTTCACCATCCAGTGGCTTTATCAATACAAATTCAAGGACATAATTGGAAGATAATATAACTATATACAAAAGATGAGGTAATCAGTCCCTCAGCCTTGGAGTTGGTGAGGAGCACCGTAGTTGTGCACAACTACGGTGCTCTTCACCAACTCTAAGGTTGAGGGATTGATTATCTCATCTTTTGTATATAGTTTTACTGCTTTCCAATTATGTCCTTGAATTTGTATTGATAAAGCCACTGGATGGTGAAACGTCTACAGTAAAGATACCCAGATGTTGCACATGTGTCTAATTTTGATATTGTGGGTATTGTATACCATCATGTAGAGCAGCACACCTGTGACAATAACCCACCAGACGCCACGGAAGGTGTTTAAACTCGGGGCTTAACCTCCCTTCAACTATGCAACTATCATAGCTCCAAAAGCTGCACTCTGTAATCATCCATCCTGGAGGATTCAATCCTCGTCAACTCCTCCAGTGGTACTTTTCTTATACTCGTTGTGACTTTAATATTAGAATTACGATTGATCTTGCAACATTTATATTATTCTTCCTTTAATTCTTTAATCTTTTCCCCTCCTACCCTCCCTCCCTCCCTACCCTCCCTCCCCCTTATTTTTTTCACTCTTTTTCCTCTCTTTCCTCCCTCTTCCTCACTTCTCCCCTCCCTTTATTCACTTTCCCCTTCTCTCCTCCTTACTATTCCCCGCCCTTTCCTCTCCTCTTGCCTTCCCCTTACATCCTCGTTCCTTCCCCTCCCATCCTTCTTACTACAGCACTCTTTCCCCTCCCCAACCCACTACATCTTCACTCTTTTCCCTCCCTCCTAACTTTCTCACTCTTTCCTCTCCCCTCCGCTCCACCTTTCTCACTCTTTCAATCCCCTCTCCTCTCTTTACTTCCTCACTCCTTCCCACCCCCTTCCCCTCCCCTTAATTCAGTGTGTTTACTCAGTCATTAACCTGGACCAGCTGGTGATCACGTGACGCAGCTGGTTCAGTAATGATTAACAAGAGAGAGATAGATAGATAGATAGATAGATAGATAGAGAGAGAGAGAGAGAGAGAGAGAGAGAGAGAGAGAGAGAGAGAGAGAGAGAGAGAGAGAGAGAGAGAGAGAGAGAGAGAGAGAGAGAGAGAGAGAGAGAGAGAGAGAGAGAGAGAGAGAGCAAGGTAAAGGTTAGGTAAGACTCGTCAGGAAACAGGACAAGTGTTTCCTGACGCGGGTCTTATTCATATGATGACCCGCCACTGAAGCTTTGGTCATCTGACCGACGCCTTCCCTGGCTACCCAACACCTCATTAATGTCGTTGCATCACCGCCCGTGACGGTATTGTGTTGTGTTGTGTATGTGTTTTGTGTTGCTTATATGTTGTGTATGTGTTTTGTGTATATGTTGAGTATGTGTTTTGTGTTGTGTGTATGTTGTGTATGTCGTGTATGTGTTTTGTGTTGTGTATATGTGTTGTGTATGTGTTTTGTTGTGTATGCGTTTTGTTTTGAATGTGTTGTGTGTTGTGAATGTGTTGTATGTTGTATATGTGTTTTGTGTTGTGAATGTGTTGTGTATGTGTTATTTGTTGTAAGTGTTGTGTGCAGTGTGTGTTGTACTTCGTGTTGTGCTGTGTATGAGTTGAGCGTAGTGTATGTGTTGTGTTGTGTTGTGTTTGTGTGCTATTTATGTGTTGTAAGTTGTATGGTGTGTATTGGGTTGTGTATTTGTTGCGTGTTTTGCATGTGTTATGTGTTGTGTATGTGTAGTGTGTTGTGCTGTCTTTAGTGTGTTGCGCGCTGTATGTTTTATGTAGTGTGTTGCGTGTTGCGTGCAGTGTGTGTTGTGTGTGTGTGTGTGTGTTCATATAGTATGCTGTGTGTTGCGTGTAGTATGTTGTGTGTTGCGTGTAGTGTGTTGTGTGTTGCGTGTAGTATGTTGTGCGTTGCGTATAGTGCGTTGTGTGTTGCGTGTAGTGTGTTGTGAGTTGCGTGTAGTGTGTTGTGTGTTGCGTGTAGTGTGTTGTGCGTTGCGTGTAGTGTGTGTTGTGTGTAGTGTGTTGTGCGTTGCGTGTAGTGTGTGTTGTGTGTGTGTGTTGCGTGTAGTATGTTGTGTGTTTCATGTAGTGTGTTGTGAGTTGCGTGTAGTGTGTTGCGTGTAGTGTGTTGTGAGTTGCGTATAGTGTGTTGTGTGTAGTGTGTTGTGTGTTGCGTGTAGTGTGTTGTGTGTTGCATGTAGTGTTTTGTGTGTTGCGTGTAGTGCGTTGTGTGTTGCGTGTAGTGTGTTGTGTGTTGCGTGTAGTGTGTTGTGTGTTGCGTGTAGTGTTTTGTGTGTTGCGTGTAGTGTGTTGTGTGTTGCGTGTAGTGTTTTGTGTGTTGCGTGTTGCGTGTAGTGTGTTGCGTGTAGTGTGTTGTGTGTTGCATGTAGTGCTTTGTGTGTTGCGTGTAGTATGTTGTGCGTTGCGTGTAGTGTGTTGTGTGGTTGCGTGTAGTTTGTGTGTGTGTTGCGTGTAGTGTGTTGTGTGTTGCGTGTAGTGTGTTGTGTGTTGCGTGTAGTATGTTGTGTGTTGCGTGTAGTGTGTTGTGTGTTGCGTGTAGTGTGTTGTGTGTTGCGTGTAGTGTGTTGTGCGTTGCGTGTAGTGTGTTGTGTGTTGCGTGTAGTATGTTGTGTGTTGCGTGTATTGTGTTGTGTGTTGCGTGTAGTATGTTGTGTGTTGCGTGTAGTATGTTGTGCGTTGCGTGTAGTGTGTTGTGTTGCGTGTAGTATGTTTTGTGTTGCGTGTAGTGTGTTGTGTGTTGCGTGTAGTGTGTTGTGTGTTGCGTGTAGTGTGTTGTGTGTTGCGTGCAGTGTGTTGTGTGTTGTGTGTAGTGTGTTGTGTGTTGCGTGTTGCGTGTAGTGTTTTGTGTGTTGCGTGTTGTGTGTTGTGTTGCGTGTTGTGTGTTGCATGTGCGTTATATTTGCGTGTTGGGGGTTACATGTTGCGTGTTATGTGTCACATGTTGTGTTGTGTTGCGTGTTGTGTGTTACATATTGGGTGTTTTGTGTTGCATGTTGTGTTGCGTCTAGTGTTGTGGATGTTTTTCTTATATGAACACTTTATTGAAGGCGTCGTATCCAGATGTGGTAATTTTGATAACAGATTGTTGTGTTTACCAGTGTTCCAGCCTCTGAGAGGAGAGAGAGAGAGAGAGAGAGAGAGAGAGAGAGAGAGAGAGAGAGAGAGAGAGAGAGAGAGAGAGAGAGAGAGAGAGAGAGAGAGAGAGAGAGAGGAGAGAGAGAGAGAGAGAGAGAGAGAGAGAGAGAGAGAGAGAGAGAGAGAGAGAGAGAGAGAGAGAGAGAGAGAGAGAGAATCATATTTACTCGTTGCTTGAAGAGCAAGTATTTTCCCATGCATGTTTACCAACTCTCTCTCTCTCTCTCTCTCTCTCTTTCTCTCTCTCTCTCTCTCTCTCTCTCTCTCCCTCTCTCTTTCATAATTTTAAGGCTTCTAAAATAACGAAGATAATTGCCTTCATCGTCCTCACTAAATACAGTCAAAATTTGTCTAATAAATTTGGGGTTATTAGACCTAAGTGTCGTTAATAACAAGTAATGATAAGTGTAAGTGCTAATGAATGCCACAAGTGCTGAGGTGAGTGTCAACACAGTCTCTCTGCTCAGGGTAGATTATTTGCTGGATGTCACCACTCCCGGTAGATTATCTACTGGATGTTACCACTCAGGGTAGATTACTTGCTGGA